AATAGCTTCATATTATACAGATTACATAATAAATATGTTAAACTGCCCAACTACAAAAAGCTTTTATGTATAGATTGACCATAAACTAACCTCATTGATAATAAAATTGGTAGGAAATATGCTAATATAAACATTATTTACTATGGTAATTTTATTTGCGTTTTGGTTCATTTTTCATAGCTATTGTTAATAGCTTCATATACTTAATCTACGCTACGTTTATGTTTAACTCAGGTTTTACAGCCTTGCTTCGAACGCTTATTTATATGTAGTTGCCATGGGAGCAGCACGAAAATATTTCATTTTCTATTGGACGGGTAAACATTTACTAAGTGTTGTTTTTAATTTACTCATATTCCAAATTATCCCAGCTCTTTGTCAATTAACATTTTTCAACACTATTACGTGAATTATAATAATTTTATATATATTGGTGTTTTTCAGAGAATTTTTAGTGATTTTTATCGTTTACCGGATATTATAACTACTGATGCACGGGTAGTAAAATTTGGTCGAATACCGGGTCCGTGTACCCGGTCACTAAGCTTCTTCGGCCGGGGCTGGGTGTCAACCGGGACCGGGTTATCCCCTCCCCCCCAAAAAAAAACAACAACAAACAAACAACATACACAAAAATTAGAAACAAAAACTAAATTGACGTTTATTACATTCAACCGAATTATCACCAACAGAACATTCAAGTTTTACTTTCAACTTTCAATGCCTAGCCTCAACTTCTCAAACCCTAACCCCTACTGTTCTTAAAAAAAAAACCACCATCCCCAGAAATCCACTTCTCAAGGCATGCCCGTTATTAACCCCTATTGTTCTCTGAATCCCCGACTTTCAGCGAGTGGTCAGTATTTGTTGCTCGAAAACACGTTTTTTTTAAAAACTAAACCAATTATTGACTTTAACTTTTAGTACCGCGTTAGTTGTCATAAAAAGTAAGGCTTAGATGCCATTTTCAATTACCCGGATTCGGCTGTCTTTAACTTCGACATTCGGCCGGAGTCGAGTATTACCGGGTAGCCCAATACCCGGCCGGGGCCGAATATCTGGCCGAGTATCCGTGCAACCCTAGTAACAGCCATCACAACCATTAATTTCTGTGCGATTAAAAATAATAATAACTCAAGAGCAAATAAAAAAAACAACATCCGAATGAAAATAAAATGTAATAATGTAATTTTGAGTAATAACTTAAAAAAACACCATTTTAATTCATGATTTGTTCTTGTATAATAAAGAATATAAGCTAGTATTTCACTAGAACAAATATATCTGGTTTTTTTCCTCATTATTGACTACATACATATTATCTTAACAATGATTTAAGTTGTTTGTTTATAAAGTTTCGATTTCTTGAACTAAATGATAATATATTAAATATTTTTGGAGCTAAGTAGTAGCCCCCTAGTGGCACAGTGGTATGTCTGCGGACTTAAAACGCTAGGAACCTGGTTTCGATATCCGTGGTGGGCAGAGCACATATAGTCCTTTGTGTAGCTTTGTGCTTAACTTAAAACAAACAAACCTTAAGATATGGTTACATTTCTAAACAAATATATGCTTCATAGGAAACATAATTAGTAACATAAGTTTATTGAAAAGGGTTCCATGCTTGTAGTTATTAAGTAATTATTTTTCTATACTTTTATTGTTCGAAAAAACTTAGTTTTAATGGGGCTGGATATTGATTGGATATATATATACTTCCCAGCTCAAAATTACATGCTGTGATACTGTATCCATAAAAAAATAACAGCTTTTAATACTTCTAAATGAACACACTTTTCTAAATAATAAACCATATACAACTTTATCTATTAAACCAGTGTTTCCCAAAGAGTTTCGGCCCCTGGTGGCCGCCAAAAATGGGCCGAAAACAAAGATGCTGAATTAATTTTGTTTTTAAATAAACAATAAGCCGAAAAAAATTATGTTGAATTAATTAAATTACAGGATTGCTTCATATTTTAAAACGAAAATAAGATAATCTTACATAAAATTAAGTGTGTATTTAATTGTTCATCAGTCTACAAATTTAATCCAAACATAATAAATTACTAATAGTCTAATTATAATACATATAAATTAATAATAAAAAGGCCACATTGAATTACAAACATACAATTTAATAGAAAAAGTACTTCATAAATATCATTAAGGTTCATTAGTAATTATTTTTTAAAATTGATTAATCACATTTTTAAGGCATTTTTATTGGTTGGAAGCCTCACATCAAGGGAGCCTCAGAGTAAAATAGTTTGGGGACCACCGTATTAAACTTTTCACTTATTGTTTCAATTATGTTATTATGAATTTGCAACTGTAAATTTCTTATAGTTTTTATTCTCTCTAAACATATTTACATTTAATATGATTTGTATACTAACTTTTAGAGATTTTTCATTTTGGTTGAAAAACACTTCTAGACAACTCGTTTTCACTGAACCAATCCTTTACCATCCATATGTCAGAATTAATACCATTTTGTGTTTCTTCTATAGAACTAGAAGTGCACGTTAACGCAGATCATGAGCAAAAGTATTAATTTTACCGTAAAATTCTAATTACACACAAAACATATACACATTATTAATGATAAAGTTTATATATCGTGATGCAAAATAGATGGAATAACCCCAAAAGAAGGACAAAAGTAGTGAACGTCATCAAACTGGTTCATCGTGCAATGATATATTGAGTAACCCCATATTCGTTAAGACTGTATTATTTTGTTTTTATGGTCCAGTTACTTTTTGCACCGTTTAGTAAAATAGGCCCCAAATGTTTAAATACCACACTAACCTGCCAGTCAAAGGATAAAAAAATAACAAAATATAGCAAGTTTGTCATCACTGAAATGATTTGTCAAAATGGCGTAGGAATCTATCATCAATGGTAAAATAGGCCCCAAATGTTTAAATACCATACTAACCTGCCAGTCAAAG